CTTTCCAAAAATATAAATCATAATAGTGGGTTGTATTTTAATTTTTTAAATAAATTCTATATAAAAGGATTTTTAATTATTTTGAATAGGATTCTGGCTATTACTCATATTTTCAATCATGATCAATTTGACATTTTGTTTCTAAAGAAAAACAGTTTACATTTTGTAAATCATTTGCTTAAATACAAATTGTATTAGCAATCTTAATTAACTTTTGCAAATATGTATTATAGTTTGTCTCCTACATTTTCAAATAGCTAAACAGTAAAAACAAGTTGTTTTATAATGACTATTGCTTCTACTTTTTATATAAAATATTTTAAGAAAAACCAAACAAAAAAAACTTCATATATTTATATATTATAAAATAAACTGGGTTTACTAAAATACATTATTAGTGTTAAACACTATAGTTGTTATATCTCAAAAAAGTACTAACTAACACACCTCAGTGACAGTGTTGCTATATAAACACTTTTAGACACATTTAAACATTTTTTCAAATTAAAATTTATAATTTATTTTAATTTTTTTATAAATAAATTCAATACCTAAAAAAATATATAATTATATATTTTTTTAACTTATTTATTGATTATAGTCTGACCTCAATATAATCACCAGGCTGGAAAACAAAATTCTGGTGATTATAAAAAGTTGTGATTACACAAAGGTCAAAATTTATATGTTTTTATATTAGCTCAATCAAAAAAAATAGTGTGATTATAACAAGGCTGTGATTATATCAAGAGTGACTATAATAAGATCAGAATGTATTTAAACTTGGAACATGCAACAGGAATAACTCTTCCTGACAATCACTTATACCAAATTTACAGCTAACGAAAACAGAAACTTGATAGAAAAAAGTAGAAGAGACAACTACAAATAATGGTTTTTACAAAGGTCAAGGTTTTTGTTTCTATTCTTCCGAACTTCTTTATATATTTAGTATGCAAGTTAAAAGTGTTTCTGTACAAGATAACTGGTGAAAAGGTGGTGTCTTTATACAGAAAATTTTAATAAAAGCTCTACTTCTGCTGATGAAGTTAAAAATAGTTGGTCTAAGGAGAACAACAAGCAAGTTTTCAACACATTCTTTACCAAAGCTTAAGAATACCTGCAAACTGAATCCTATACCAAAGCTCTACTCTTTGCTCTTTACGAAATTTTAACAAAAAGTAGAAAAATCAGTATATCCTTATTGAAGGATTAACAACAACAATCACTGCCGAAAAAAGAAAATTACATACAGGAGTATGTGTCTACTTTTGGATTAATAATATTGCATCAGTTATTTCAAGAGGTTATGGTGTTTACACTGAGATCTACAGAAGCTGAAAAAGTATAGATCGTTTAACTTTACTTAGAAATAAGCACTAATATGAGAATATATTGCAGGATACCTCAGTGAAACTATAAGAGAAATTTCGAACTTGGTCTTTACTCAAGAATAAATATTTTATATATCCCAATATAGACAATAAGTAACTAGCGTAGAGTTTAGACTAGATTATTTAGTAGTCTATATAATTTTTATAATCTAACACAGGTTTAATAGTGCTATCTTTATTTTCTTTTATTTCATTTTGTTTTTTATATATATATATATTTTTTGGTTTTATTTGTTTAGGTAGATCGAATTTAGACGCCGAGGTACCACCTCTTTGTTTTGTGTTTGTATTTCGTAGAAAAGATGATACTGATATGGCATGTGATACCGGCCAATGATCGAAGGATTTATGTCTCTAGGAAGTTGAAGGCCCAGAGGAAGGTAAACAGCCATTAGGCGATGTCACACCTGGGCTTTAAGCCAAGTGAGTCACTTGTTGTGGTTAAAGAAAGATTAACTATAGTTAAAATTCATGTAATTTTTACTTAGTTACTATCTTAATAAAACAGTGGTAAGACATGCCAAAAAAAAAAAAAAAAAAAAAACTTGAAACATAGGCTTGAATGATTTTGAACAATCTTGAACATTGAATATTGGACATAATTAGGGTTTGGAATCGGGCTGGGCTACCCAGAGCCCACAACAACCTGGCCCGAACTGATATTTTTAGGCCCAAAATAAGTGGACCAGACTGGGTTAATACTGGGCCAGGTCGGGCTTTATAAAAAAGCCTATACACTTTACATTAAGTCACAAACCCAGCCCGGCCCAGGCCCAAACCTGATTAGAAGTTTTGGGTTCGGGTTTAGTTTGAACCGGGTTTATGAAAGCTCAGTTTAACCTGGCCAAACCCACCTGATTCCGGACCCTAGACATAGTATAAACACATCCCATGTACAACACTGCTTAGAGGTACTAAATAAAAATGTTCAGAACCCCCAAAAACCTTATGCTAACTAAAATTTGAACCTTTATATCTAACCTCTATTTTACCTTGTAACCTTGTAACTACACTCTAACTTTAAATTTTAGAAAAAACTTATTAATACCATAAACACCATAGATGCATTTTATAATAATTGAAATAAACTATGGTATGTACATACATAATAAATCAATTATAGTTGTGGACAGTAAGTTTGAACATTTTGAACAATTTTGAACAATTAAATAAATTAAAATTACTCAAAATTTTATTATAATAATCTATATTAATTTCTAAGTAAAATATGTTCAGCATTTAAAAAAATTTATAACCATATATTTTTTTAAACAAATCTATTAATTATTAAAGCTTGAGCATGCTCTGGACACTTGGACGTTGAACAGTACCAAAAAAGCCTTTGGTCAATCAAAACGTACATCACTGCACGTATATACTTATCATTATCGTTATCAATCGTTCTTATCATTACTCGAATTACAATTTACTGCATAATATACGACATACTACAAGAATTACAGTCTATAACATAATATTTAATATGACCAGAGTTACCACCTTACGTCAATACTACCAAAAAATTGCAACTTCACTACAATCGGTCGTAATTCATTACCTCAATACAGCTACATTAGCATTGCCAACAAAATTACGTAATCTTAATCGTCACAAGGAAATAACTACGGTACATAGTAATTTTTTTTTAATTCACATACAATAAATATAAGATATAGTATGTGATGATTAATCATACGTAATTTTGTTGGCAGCGCTAAGCTACATAACTAGTTCTAGGATTGTCTTAACATGCCTGGTAGAAAGAATAATTTATAAGGTACAGGTAATATAAAAAGTGGCGATATTTCAAAAATGCTTACGTAGACGTTCTGATAATTGTTCATCTTCATCAATTTCTTTGTCTGCAATGATTGAACTAGGAGTAGCCTCGCCAAGCTGCTGATTTAACTCAAGGCCATGCTCATCAGCTACTTGTTGCATCAATAAATCAACTTCTTCTTGTGGAGTACTCATTGTTGTTGTGTTCCCCATCGCACCTTCCATATATTGAGTTTGAACGTCGATATCCTCAAATTGTGATTCAAATTTATCCATGACCATTGAAATCTAAATAGTTTACCGTTAAGCGTTGAAATTTTAAGTTAATTTATGATAAAGGTTTAAGTTACAAATAAAAAATCGATTATACCTTTTCTAAATTCATAGACTCCATAGCTTTATCCATACCTTTCACGACATTAGCCATGGATCCGGTTACCTGTGTTATGATCAACCGTTAATCGTTGGATTAGCGATCAAAATATGTATATTGTAATAATAATATTGAATACCTTTTGCATTGTAACGGCAGTTTGAACTCTACTAGCTACTGCATCGATTCTTGAAGATAGTCTCAACAAATTTAGTGATTCATTTTTTTTACGAATTGCATTAGAGGCATATATACGCGCACCCTCCATGTTTCCTTGTTGGATCGCCTAAAATACATGTTAAAACAATGAAACCTTTTATTTCGAGAAATCCAGTATATTTATTAGCAAAAAGAATAGACGAACCTTTTTAAGTTTTGATTTCTCAGAGGTTTCATCCTTACTAGCCTTTTTTGCTTGACGGGATAATTGTTTCGCAGTTAACTAATTAAGTAAAGAATTTAGTATATATTTGAACGAAAACATAGCACGACCAGAACTGACGTCTTCTTTACTTTTAATTGAAAGAGGCTCTTATCCAAATGATTCATCTTTTGTGTATAAAATATAAGACAAAGGTGTTAATTACTTTGATTACTCCGAGAAATTGAATTGTTAAATTCAGGCCAAATTTATATAATTTCAGTCATGATTAGCAACATGCATTTTTACCATAAATTTGGTAAACAGGATTCGTTTTACACAACGATAAAGCGAAACAGTAAAAATAGTAAAGCTATTATTAGTTACTTTAGTTTTCCAAGTGAAAGATACAAAATTGTAGATATAAACCATGGCATACTGTGATTTTCGCGGGGTAAACCGGGCTTTTTTTTTTTGTAATGTTATAGACTTTAACCAAAAGTCAATTTTTTAACACCGTTTATTATTTGAACTAAACCAGAAAGCCATAGAAATCTCGAAAAAAGCAACTGAAGAAGATGCAAAAGAAAACTACGAACAAGCATATAAATTATATCAGAATGCTTTAGAGTACTTTATGGCTGCAATAAAATGTACGTCGCCAGTTTCGTGGTGGACGTTGTTAAGTGTAGATTTTTTTTGATTAGTATATACGTGCAGTGATGTACGTTTTGATTGACCACAGGCTTTTTTGGTACTGTTCAACGTCCAAGTGTCCAG